ACTTTAAGTAAAACTGAGTTTGATGAATCTGAAGAATTGCAAATGATTTATTCTCAGGAAGAAATCAAGGACAAGAAAGGCACAAAAAATATTGATATGAATCATTTGTCAAAATTGACAATAAATTCGACATCTAACATCCCATTAATCGATGATTACTTTCATGATGAATCCTTACTTTCACTTAGTCCAATGCCATGGTTTGCTAATCATATCAGTTTTCTTTCTTTAGGAGATTTGTCAGCTCATTAGAGTACTGAAGACAAAGGAAAGTTTTTGAATGATGTGAAGAAGTTTTATTGGGATCACCCTTACTTATTCAAATATTATCTTGATCAAATATTTTAGAAATGCATTCCCGATAATGAGGTAAGTAGTGTCATTAAATTTTGTTATTTTAAGGCATATGGGGGTCATTTCTCATAAAAAAGACAACTGCAAAAATCTTATAATATGGATTTATTGGCCCACCATGTTTAAAAACACACGTGTGTTCTACAAAGCTTTTCAAAAAATGTCAAAGTCAAGATTTCTTTCAAAACATAGTCTTTAGATAATCTTCTATTGACTTTTAGGATATATCCTAGTGGAGATATGCATTGTGCATTTCATGACTTATGATCTCATTTTCATAAAAAAAACATGCTCGATATAGTCTTGGAAATCTAACTAAAACAGACCATGTTTGCTATTTTATAAGAAAACTAGATGGGAAGCCCATCCCCGACCTATAAAGGGTGTTTAAGCCGTTCTTGGACATAAAATCAAGGAAGATATGATCTACAATCACAACTACTTGTACATAGATATGTTTTTTTTTTAAATAAATAAATAAAATAATAAATAAATAAAGAGAGAGAGAGAGAGTGAGACTTAACTGGCCTACATATAAGTAGTATAATTGCATTTTTAATTTCTCATCTATAAAATATTCTCTTCATTCTCTTCATTTCTACTCAATCCATACATTTAACAAATATAGAAGTGTGAAGAAATGATAGGTTTCTCAAGTTAGCACATAAAAAATATTTGTGTTTTCGCTGGATCCAGTCCTAAAAAGGAAATAGAGTTATTAGAATCAGCAAATCATCTTAATCAGGTACTAGCTGAGAAAAATATTCATTTAGTATATAGGGGAGGCAACCTTGGGTTAATGAGGGAGTGTGTCAATAGCTGTATTTTTAGGAGGCATTCAAGTTTTGGGGTCATCCCCAAAGCTTTAACAAGAGGAGGTATCATTGAAAAAATAATTGGAAAAGAACTACGAGTCTCTATAATATATGATCAAAGAAATGCAATGTTTAAACACGTTAATACCTTTATTGCTTTACCAAGTGGTTTGGGCACATTGAAAGAGATTTTTCATATTTTCTCTTGGACCTAACTTCACATTCACCATAAACTTATATGTTTACTCAATATTAATGGTTTTTATGATAAATTATTATTTGTTCTTGATCATGCTGTGGAATAGAATTTTCTAACATTTTCAACATAACAAATCATAATCCCTACTGCTACTGGTAAATAATTGATTGACCAACTACAATCTTTCATCCTTGTAATTAATCCCTTCATGAATTGTATAAGTTGGTCAACTAAAAAAGATAGTAAAAAGCTTAGATTGGATTTGAGCTTTTGTTTGTGAACTTTGTGCCTTTTTGTTTTATTAATAGCATATTATTTTGTTTTTTTATATTTGTTTAAGTGTGTTTCATGATTGTTAGTGTTCATTATTTAAGGTTATGTCTTCTATACTCTATCTTTATACCTTAGGACATTGAGGACAATGTCTCATTTTGGTTGGGGGGAAAGAGTAATAGTTAACATTAAAAAAAAAGGCTCTATTTTTGCTATTATTAAAATTATTTGACAAAACTATTATTAGGATAGCAGAGTAATAAGGAATTTTATTGACTATTGAGACCTATCTTTGTAAATATTTTTTAATGGTTATTTATAATATTTAGAACAAGGTCTATCACACACTTCTTATGAAATATTCAGATTTACAAACTCTCGTCTTATTACCACATGATTCTGCTCATATACTTATTTAACAAATATTTTTAAAATTTTATTTTCACACACACACATTTTAACATATGATTGTGAGTTGCATATTGGATTATTATATTAATTATATATTTTTTTTAAAAGCAACAACTAAGAAAAATATATAGTATATACTTTGTAAAAAAAAACAAAAACAAATTAATAATATTAATAATAATAAAAACATAGATAAGTTTGATTTTGTAGCCTCTCTAACCTAAGCAATTAAACCAGAATAGGTGTTTTAACACTTAATACCCTACAATCAGCTAATATGGAAGCTATTAGCTCAAAACTTGTTACATGGGTTAAGGAGAAAAGTTTAAAGAAATCAAACATTGCACTATCTATATTTTAGTATTTGCAACAAAAGGCACTGAGCTCATAGGGTTGTCTTATCACTTAATGTCCTAATACCAATTAGTTTGTGAGTCATTAACCTAAAGCTCGTTATATAAGTTAAAGATGCATTATATTTTAAGTTATATGTATATATATTTTTTTAAAAAGGGATAATAATCTTAACCCAAGGAAGTTAACCTTAAACATTAGAACAAAATTTTATTTTCTTTCAATAAAAGTCTCATAACTATATGTTGATATATTGAGTACAAAATGAAGGTTTATTAATATATTTTTAAAGCTTTGTGAAACTTGCAAATTGTTTTTCTATTTTAAAGCTTTAACTTCTAGAGACTACTAATAAGGTGGTTGGAGGGTGTAATTAATACATAAAAGTATATTTTTATCAAGATTTTATATTATTATTTTGCACTTGAAGTATCAATAACTCCTTAACTAGAGTATTTTTTATAATAACATATCCAATAAATATAAGATACCTTTAATTTATAGTAAATATTCATCTTAAAAGTAGGTCTATCACATAAATAAAAGGATTGATAGATGAGTTTAACTATTGAAATTAAAAAAAAAAATAGAGGGCCATGTTTAGAAAAGAAATACTGGTTCAGTCCAAATTGAAACATGGTTCAGTCCAAACTAGAACACTGTTCAGTCATTAGGTCATATCTAGAGCTGTAGATCTTGGATTTTTGTTTGGTTTATATAGTAAGAAAGTTAAGACATAGGCCTAAAACATTTATAATTATCTAAAACTCAGTTTTGCTATTTGAAAGTCCAAATCATAGCATCAAAAGAGAAGTCTAAATCTGTCTTGCAGCCTAAATGCTATTCATTATTCAGCCTATATCTCGAGTTCTAGAAGCCCAAATGACCTTATTTTTTTGTTGGAAAACTGAGATAATTTCATAGAACTTTCATTAGACAATCTATTTAAATTTTGATGTTAGTAATGACGTTTTGTTCAGTCAAAAAGACAAGGATTGTCACCAAGTCAAGATGTGGCCACTAATTTAACAATTAGTCAATAAATTAATATTTTTAAATTTTGGCCTATAAAAGGAGGCATTTGCCATGCGTTTAGGTATCTTGGTTTTCATATCAAGATCATGTTCTTACTCTTTTTTTATATATATTTTTGTAATGCTAAAGTTTTACTTTTATTAATCTTTTGTTTATGCCTTTCATCTCCTTTACAATACTTATATAATTATGTTCTCTTATTGTTTATTTATGTTTCTCCTCTTCATTATATTTAGCTAAGTTTATTTTATCAAGGTAAAAAGGTTACACTAATGGTGTAAGAATAAGTATAGTACAAACTCAACATGAATCTCAATGTTTGATACTAACATGTTTTATATTTGTTATCTTGTTGACTTTTAATACTTTGCGTAAATGGTTAATCTAGATTTGTGTTGTATAATACTTGGTATAACAAATACTTGGCACTTTCATAACTACACCATATGGTATAACCAACACTTTTGTTATGAAAAGAACTTGATTTGTTGTTAACATAAGTTATAATCATGAACATCTGACAATATTTATAAATATTACCATTATTCAAATAAGATAACTAATGTAATCATGTTAACAATTCATAATCCGATTGGAGTCTTATTTGTGTGTGGTTTCAATTGAGTAATAAAAAGAGTTTATACTTTACTTGTTTGAAAGTAAATCATCTAACCTTGACAATTATTTTATCCTTATATCAATATCACGTCTTAAAGCTCTTTTCAACTCCTTTTTTGTTATTATTTATTTTTTTATTTGTAGTTTATATAGTTAACCTCCCTATAGCTCGACTCTGATTTTACCGAGTTATTTATTACTATTAGAATAATAGAATATAAAAGATATTAATTTTTTAGTTGTGTCAAAATACAATAACAATAATAAATAAAGAAAAGACTGATAGAACAATTGAAGTAGAAATTCTTATGTTTTCCTCTATTCTATATTCCCAAAAAAATTATTGAATAAGACACAAGGGAAATAAACACAAGATAATTATCAAAACAAGCTTTATAGCATCTTAAAAGGACTTTCTCTAGTTCTATTTGTTAAGATTTGGGCATGGGGAAGAGTTCATTCACTACAAGTATGGCTGGAAAGCAAGATTCACGATCTAACCAATCTTCAACAATCAAGAATTTTCATAAACTCTATTATATATGGTAGCTCAACCATGTGGTTATGGTTAATATGTTGTGGTTATGGTTAGTATTTTGTTCCTTTCATTTTTCTCATAAGCTAAATGCGAACAATTCCTTTTTTTTTAAAGGAGGTTGGTTAATATTTTAACGTCATAGAGACAACTAATTTAGCAAAACAAATTCTAGATGATGTGTATGTAACCTATTTTCATGCCTATCAATTTAGAGAGAAAAATCTATTATTCTGATAACAAATGGTTGCCATTTTGGAATGCAACCATGCATGAGTATCAAGCACATCCAACTGATTCCACTCAAGCACTAAGAAACAGTAATGATTTTGTAAGGAAAAAAATCAATACAAAATTTGCTCTCACCTCCAAAACTCTTATCAGTCTTAGCGACTGCCTCGACTTCATTTGAAAGGGGAGTTGGATTTTCATAAGATTGACGAGTATTCTTGGCAGTGCTTCCACCCAAATAGCCTGCAGAAACTTCAGCATAACATCAGTTTATTAATTTTTTAATGCAGTATAAATAAGCATAAGCAACACTAGAAATTACTAGGAACTAGTAATAAGCTCGTTAGAGCGTAATTTGTACATAAAAGTGCATTTTTATTAAGGTTTTATATTATTATTTTGCATTTGAAGTATTAATAACTCTTTAACTAGAGCATATTTTATAATAATATATCCAATAAATATAAGATACTTTTAATTTATGGTAAATGTTCATCTTAAAAGCAGGTCTATTACATAAATAAAAAGATTGATTAATGAGTTTGACTACTGAAATTGAGAAGACAAAGAGAGGGCTAAACTTAGAAAAGAGATTTTAGTTCAGTCCAAATTGAAACATTGTTCTGTCATTAAGTCATATCTAGAGCTGTAGATCTTGGATTTCAATTTTGGTTTCTATGACTAGAAAGTTAAGACATGGGTATAAAACATTTATGATTATCCAAAATTGAGTTTTGTCATTTAGAAATCCAAATCTTAACATCAAAAAAGAAGTCTAAATTTATCTTACAGCCTAAACAGTGTTCAATATTCAACCCATATCTCGAGTTCTAGAAGTCTAAATGACCTCATTTGTTTTTTTGTTGGAAAGCTGAGATAACCTCATAGAACTTTCATGAAGACAGTCTATTTAAATTTTGATGTTAGCAATGATTTTTTTCAGACAAGAAAATAAAGATTGTCACCAAGTCAAGATGTGACCACCAACTCAACAATTAGTCAACAAATTAATATTTTCAAGTTTTGGCCTATAAAAAGAGGCATTTGCCATGCATTTAGGCGTCTTGGTTTTCATATCAAGAACATGTTCTTGCTTTATTTCTTTATATTTTTATAATGCTTAAGTTTTGCTTTCATTAATCTCTTTTTTATGCCTTTCATTTCCTTTAGAATACTTATATAATTATGTTCTCTTCTTATTTATTTATGTTTCTCTTCTTCATTATGTTTAGCTAAGTTTATTATGTCAAGGTAAAAAAGTTACACTAATAGTGTAAAAATAAGTATAATATAAACTCAATATGAACATGTTTTGTATTTGTTATCTTGTTGATTTTTAATACTTTGTTTATTAAATGGTTAATCTATATTTATGTTATATAACACTTGGTATAACAAATACTTAGCACTTTCATAGCCCAACCATACAATATAATCGACACTTTTGCTATGAAAAAAACTTGATTTGTTATTAACATAAGTTAAAATCATTAATACATGATAATATTTACAAGTATTAGCATTATTCAAATAAGATAACTAATATAATCATGTTAATAATTTATAATCCGATTGAAGCCTCATTTGTGTGTGGTTTCAATTGAGTAATAAAAAGAGTTTATACTTTACTTGTTTGAAAGTAGATCCTCTAACCTTGATAATTATTTTATTCTTATTTAATTCTTATATCAATATCACATCTCAAAGCTCTTTTCAACTCCTTTTTTGTTATTTTTTATTTTTTATTTGTAGTTTATACAGTTAACCTCCCTATAGTTCAACTCCGGTTTTACCAAGTTATTTATTACTTATCACTCCTACACTTGGAAGAAGATATCAATCTTTTAATCATGTCCAAAAATAATAACAATAATAAACAAAAAAAAAGAGTGATAAAACAATTGAAGTTGAAATTCTTATGTTTTCCTTCATTCTATATTCCAAAAAAAAGTATTAAATGAGACACAAAGAAATAAACACAAGATAAGTTATCAAAGCAAGCTTTGTAGCATCTTAAAAGGACTTCCTCTAGTTCTATTTTTTAAGATTTGGGCATGGGGAAGAGTCCATTCACAATAAGTATGGCTAGAAAGCAAGATTCGCGATCTAACCAAGCTTCAACAATCATGAATTTTCATAAACTTTGTTATATATGGTAGCTTAACCATATGGTTATTGTTAGTATTTTGTTCCTTCCATTTTTCTCACAAGCTGAATACGAACAATTTTTTTTAAGGAGATTGGTTAATCTTTTAATGCTATATAGACAAGTGATTTAGCAAAAAAAATTCTAGATGCTATATATATAACATGTTTTCATGCTTGTCAATTTAGAGAGAAAAATCTATTGTTCCCATGACAAATGGTTGCCATTTTGGAATGCAACCATGCATGAGTATCAAGCACATCCAACTGATTCCACTCAAGCACTAAGAAACAGTAATGATTTTGTAAGGAAAAAAATCAATACAAAATTTGCTCTCACCTCCAAAACTCTTATCAGTCTTAGCGACTGCCTCGACTTCATTTGAAAGGGGAGTTAGATTTTCATAAGATTGACGAGTATTCTTGGCAGTGCTTCCACCCAAATAGCCTGTAGAAACTTCAGCATAACATCAGTTTATTAATTTTTTAATGCAGTATAAATAAGCATAAGCAACACTAGAAATTACTAGGGACTAGTAATAAGCTCATTAGGGAATATAATTTGTACATAAAAGTGCATTTGTATTAAGGTTTTATATCATTATTTTGCACTTGAAACATTAATAACTCCTTAACTAGAGCATGTTTTATAATAACATATCCAATAAATATAAGATACTTTTAATTTATAGTAAATGTTCATCTTAAAAACAGGTCTATTACATAAATAAAAAAATTGATTGATTAGTTTGACTACTGAAATTAAGAAGATAAAAAAAGGGCTAAACTTAGAAAAGAGATCTTAGTTCAGTCCAAACTGGAATACTGTTTAGTCATTAAGTCATATCTGAAGCTGTAGATCTTGGATTTTAGTTTGGTTTATACGACTAGAAAGTTAAAACATAGGCCTAAAACATTCATGATTATCTAAAACTTAGTTTTGTCTTTTGGAAGTCCAAATCTTATCATCAAAAGAGAAGTCTAAATCTGTCTTGCAACCCAAATACTATTCATTATTCAGCCTATATCTCAAGTTCTAGAAGCCCAAATAACCTCATTTGTTTTTTTATTGGAAAGCTGAGATAATTTCATAGAACTTTCATGAAGACAGTTTGTTTAAATTTTGATGTTAACAATGACGTTTTATTCAAACAAAAAGATAAGGATTGTCACAAAGTCAAGGTATGACCATCAACTCAACAATTAGTCAACAAATCAATATTTTCAAATTTTGACCTATAAAAGGAGGCATTTGCTATGCATTTAGGTATTTTGGTTTTCATATCAAGATTATATTCTTGCTCTCTTTCTTTATATTTTTGTAATGCTTAAGTTTTGCTTTCATTAATATCAAGTTTCATTTCCTTTACAATACTTATATAATTATGTTCTCTTCTTATTTATGTATGTTTCTCTTTTTTTTATTATTTTTAGGTGAGTTTATTATGTTAGGGTGAAAATGTTACACTAATGGTGTAAGAATAAGTATAGTATAAACTTAACATAAACCTTAATGTTTGATACTAACATGTTTTGCATTTGTTATCTTGTTGACTTTTAATACTTTTCTTATTAAATTGTTAATCTATATTTGTGTTGTATAACACATGGTATAACAAATACTTGGCACTTTCATAGCCCAACCATATGGTATAACTGACATTTTTACTATAAAAGGAGCTTGATTTGTTGTTAACATAAGTTATAATTATTAATACCTGACAATATTTACAAGTATTAATATTATTTAAATAAGATAACTAATGTAATCATGTTAACAATTTATAATTCAATTGAAGCCTCATTTGTGTATGGTTTCCAGTTGAGTAATAAAAAAAATCTATACTTTACTTGTTTGAAAGTGGATCCTCTAATCTTGATAATTATTTTTTTTAAATTCTTATATCAATATCACATCTCAAAGCTCTTTTAAACTCCTTTTTTGTTATTATTTAATTTTTTTATTTATAGTTTATATAGTTAATTTTCATGTTGTTTGACATCAGTTTTACCAGGTTATTTATTACTTTAACACTTCTACATTTAAAAAAAATAATTTTTTAATTATGTTAAAATAAAATAACAATAATAAACAAAGAAAAGACAGATGGAACAATTGAAGTTGAAATTCTTATGTTTTCCTCTGTTCTATATTTCAAAAAAAAAAATTATTGAATGAGACACAAGGTTAAGTTGTCAAAGCAGGTTTTCACCACAAGTATGCCTGGAAAGCAAGATTCGCGATCTAACCTATCTTCAACAATCAAGAATTATCATAAACTCTGTTATATATGGCAGCTCAGCCATGTGGTAATGGTTAGTATTTAGTTCCTTTCATTTTTCTCATAAGCTGAATACGAACAATTTTATTTTTTTAAAAAAGGAGGTTGGTTAATCTTTTGACGCCATAGAGACAACTGATTTAGCAAAAAAAAAACTCTAGATCATGCTGTGCATATAACCTGTTTTCATGCCTGTCAATCTAGGGAGGAAAACCTATTGTTCCCATAACAAATGGTTGTCACTGTGGAATGCAACCATGCATGAGCATCAAGCACATCCAACTGACTCTACTCCACCACTAAGAAACGGTAATGATTTTGTAAGGAAAAAAATCAATACTAAATTTGCCCTCCCCTCCAAAACTCTTATCAGTCTTGGCGACTGCCCCGGCTTCATTTTACAGGAGAGTTGGATTTGCATCTGACAGGGGAGTTGGATTTTCATGAGATTGACAAGTATTCTCCGCAGCGCTTCCACACGACCAGCCGGCAGAAACTTCAGCATAACATCAGTTTATTAATTTCTTGATGCAGTGTAAATAAGCATAAGCAACACTAGAATGATTTATGAATCAATCATTCAATACATTCTATTAACAAAAACAACATGAAAATGATAATTAATTAATCTAAATATAAATAAATTATAATAATCAAATGTTATTATGCAAGCATTGATTCTTAAGCAGACATTAATTTACGAAGTAGTTTCCTTACATTAAAAGAGACCGAATTACGAATTCAATTACCAGAAAGGGGTGGGGAGGAGGAGATGAGGGAGAAGTGGTCATAGGCGAGTTTAGCAACGTCGCTTTGAGCTTTCTTAGAGGAAGAAGAGGGAGAAGGAGAGGAAAAGGAGATGGCGTTGACGGTGACGGTGGCTGAAAAGAGAGGCTTGTGATCTTGTCCTTGCTTAGTGACTTGATAGGTAGGCAACTCCCATCCTCTCTGCTGGCACACTGCTTGAAGCTCTGATTTGTACATTGTAGGCGTCTCTTGCTCTCTGCTTCTTCTTAGCCTGTGAGTGATGATTAAATAGTGCATCAACACACGTGCACGTGGTGTGCGACTTCTTGACAGTTATGTAATTCCCTTCGAGCAAAGGTTTCTTTTTCTTTACTTTTTTTTTATTCTTATTCTTTTCTTTTCACGTGATTTTCTACAGAAAATGTCAAGAATCATTCTTGCTTGCGTTTCCTCGTAAGATAAAGGGTGGTAAAAGAAAAACATCTAATTAATTTTTTATATTTGTAAATTATTTTAATATTCTAGTAGTAAATATAAATTTTTAAAAAATAAAAATATATTATTTTAATATATTTATAAACAAAAACACTTTAAAAAACAAATATTCTCAAACACTCTTCTAAATAAACTTGAGATGCTACAGCTATTTGTTTTTAGTAGTTTTTTATATTAAATAAACTAATACACCCTTATTTAATTATTTTTACTGATAATTATATTATACATAAAAAAAAAACTTGGGATGGAAACAAGCAAATCAACTTTAAAGGTAAGGTGCTTCAAAGGCGAGGTGGGGACGAGGATGTGAAATTGAAGGGACATCTAAAAATATTAGGTGGGGATTGGTTTTTACTATTCAAGATTAGCATAATTTATTATATTCAGCAGAGATATTTGCGGCAAATTTACATGAGGAATCAGTAGAAGCATCAATCTCAATACATTAGCATCCAAAAGTTCATTTGAGTGCACAGAATGGTAATGCCATTCATTTTCATCACAAGGTACGCCAAGCAATTTGATGCCTTTTAAAGAATCGAAGGCAGAAATAAAATACAATATGGAATGAGAAAGGAATAAAAAAAAGAAAAGGGAAAAGAATCATTGTTAAGCCGATACCTTTGCAACTAGTATCAGCGTCCATCTTGAACTTGAAGCAAATAATTTAATTTAAAATCATAAAAAAATATTAGATAAATAAATAAATTGTTAAATAACAATGCAAGAGATTGGATTAAAGAGCGAAAAACTTTCATTAGAAATTTTAAGAGTCTCTTCAAGAAAAGGGTATTGTTACATTATGCAAATTCTACACATTTTATAATGAAAGATGTATATTATCATATTTGCATACTGTGGTAACCGATTAAAAATTAATTTAAATTAGAAAAAAATAGATATCTAACATCTTATTTTTTTAGATAAAAATATTTTATTCAAGAAATCGCCATATAATATTATAGTCACTAAGAATTCTAACTAGTTAACAGAGATTCTATGGTACCAGACTGGTTATACAAAAAGAAAAATATTATCACCCCTTAAACGTTTTACTTAAAGTAGATTGCATTGCTGGTTTTGTTTAAAATTACTAAGAATTTGTTCTTTTTTTTTTTCTTTTTAATTCTTTATTCATGTTCTTAACTCTGGCATTAATGAATAATTTCTATAAATATTTTCAACTCTGACATTAGTAAATATCGCATAAATCAAAAAAATATGATACTTTTGACTCTAGCGTAAATAAATATTTTTATAAAAAATAAATTTGACGAAGAAATTTTCTATACCATTTTTTTCTTATTTATCCTTTATTATTATTTGCTCTTTTTTTACAAAAATAAAAAATATTACATAATAGATTTACATTTAATAATAATAGGCCATATATTAAACACATAGCTAAAAAAAAATACAAAATGCAAAGAAAAAAGTTAACATGCAAGAGGCCCACAAATAAATCAAAGAAGATCACGAAATATTTTTAAAATTTTATGATATTAAAAAAGAGTTTATTTAATCAAATATCAAAGATATAAAATTATATTTTAATAAATATATTCTTAATAAATACAATTTAGGATAACTGGGTTTAAAGCTCTGATTTAACCCACTTTTTATTTTTTTTATTTTTTTTACTAAACTGGATCTAGTTTAATCATGCAGGCTGGATTGGGCCCAGCTGGCCAGGGCTGGTTTCGACCGGCCCAGATAGCAGCCAACTAAGTCACGCGTGCTCTACAGTGTGAAGGTAATTGTAATTCCCTTTGCACTGTTTTGCCAACTTAGAAATGAATTATTTTACAATGAAAGAGATATATTATCATATTTGATATTGTGCTAACCGATTAAAAATTAATTTGGATTAAAAAAAAATAGATATCTAATATCTTATTTTTTTAGATAAAAATATTTTATTCAAGAAGTTGCTATTTAATATTATGGTCATTAAGAACCCTAACTAGTTAATAGAGATTTTATGGTACAAGACTGGTTACACAAAAAGAAAGATGTTATCACCCCTTAAACATCCTGCTTAAGGCAGATTGTATTGCTGATTTTGTCTAAAATTACCAAGAATTTGTTCTCTTTTTTTTCTTTTTAATTCTTTATTCATGTTCTTAACTCTGACATTAATGAATAATTTCTATAAATATTTTTAATTTTGTCGTTAGTAAATATCGTATAAATAAAAAAAATATGATACTTCTGACTCTAGCATTAATAAATATTTTTATAAAAAATAAATTTAACGAAGAAATTTTCTATACTATTTTTTATTTATTTATTCTTTATTATTATTTGTCTTTTTCTTAGAAAAATAAAAAAAAAATATTGCACAATAAATTTATATTTAACAATAGTAGACCACAGATTAAGCACATAGCTAAAAAAAATACAAAATGCAAAGAAAAAAGTTGACATGCAAGGGACCCATAAATAAATTAAAGAAGATCGTCAAATATTTTTAAAATTTTATAATATCAAAAAAAGACTTGTTTAACTAAATATTAAATTAAAAAATATATATATAAAAAAATGATGTTCAACACATAAAATTATATTTTGATAAATACATTCTTAATAAATACAATTTAGGATAACTGGGTTTAAAGCTCTGATTTAACCCACTTTCTTTCTTTTTTTTTTTTTTTGCTAGACTGGATCTACTTTAATCATGCAGGCTGGATTGGGCTCAGCTGGCCAGGGCTGGTTGCTGCCGGCCCAGGTAGCAGACAACTAAGTCACGCGTGCTCTCCAGTGTGAAGGTAATTGTAATGCCCCTTGCACTGTTTTGCCAACTTAGAAATGAATTAAACAGGCAGGAGAAAGAAGTCTTTCCTGGGCGTGCCTCTGGAGACGAAGACGCGAGGTGACTGTCCCTTAGCCGATTAGCGCTTCCTCCTCTCTGTTTCCACCTTCTGTTTTTCTCTCTCTCGGGTTCCTCCTCTGTTTTTCTCCCACTGTTTTCTGTGTTTTTTCCTCTCCGTTTCCCTCCTCCCTTTCTGGCTTCTCCTTTCCTCTTTTTATAGAACCAGACCTTGAGAGGGACTCTTATCCTTATCTTCTGGCTCGGTGTTTGGATGGAACAGAAACACCAACAGTCCTGCCATTGTTGGACTGTCCGTGGTGCTTATCCTTGCGTCA